GGAAGAAATACAGCCAGAATGCTCCTGAGAAGTGAGAAGGGTGAGACTTCATGTTACATGCTTGGACATATTATCAAGAGGGACCAGTCCCTGGAGAAGGACATCATGCTTGGTAAAGTAGAGGGTCACAAAAAAGAGGAAGACTCTCAATGGGATGGATTGACCCAGTGGCTGCAACAATGGGCTCAAACATAGCAACAATTGTGAGGATGGCACAGAACCGGGAGGTATTTTGTTCTGTCGCCATGAGTAGAAACCAACTTGATGGCACCTAACAACAGACTGCTACCCATGTCCCAGGCTGTGCTCTAAACATTGTATTTTGACCTAGCTAAACCTTACAGCAACCCTATAACATGGTTAGCATCATCATCATTGTCATCGTGCCCATTTTAAAGCTAAGGCAAACGATCCCAGAGAGGTAAGTGACTTGCCTCTGTCACACAGCTGGTAAATGACAAAACCAGGAGTTCTGAGCCCACATTCTTAACCCCAATTTTTTGCTTAAACCAAGTTAACACTTTGCTCAAGGAAAGTGGTCAGCTGTGTTGGTAAGCAGAAACCTCCAGACTAACTTTGTGACTGGCTTCCCTGGTCAGTGTGGCCCAAATAATGCCTCAGGTCATCCCAGAGTTACATAAAAACAGATTCCTAAAAAGGTTTGAGGTAACTGACAGTACAAAATGTTTTTCTGTGCTTCTGATTCAAGGTAAAATATGATTTACAATAATAGGCACAGAATGATCATGTTTAGACTTGCAACCTGGCATTTTATTATTATTCCCCTCAATAACAGTGAAAAGAATTTTGTAACCCCAAGGTAACATGACTCTGTAAGAAGGAATAGAGGGGTGAGATTTAGCAGCAGCTGCCATCATAAATCAGTGTGCGGCTGTTTCCCTCAGAGCTCCAGGCTCACCTCCTGGCTGTCATAAACTTACAAAGGAAAGCCCCATGAGAATTTATGTAACGATGGGAAGACTCATTTCCCTTCCTGCAAGAGCCTTTCTGAAGCAAGGAGAGAATTAGGCTGATTAGATTCTATGTGAAGAAAGAAAACCAAACAAGTGGTTTATAGGAAAGGAAAATGTGGGTCACCTTGAGCTATTTCCTGTGCCAAAAAATTGACCTTGTAAATAGAGAAGAAACATACTGAATACCACCAAAAAAATGAGTGGTTAGATGACTGAGTAAATTAATGAATGTGGTGATCCAGGATTCCTCCAGGGCGGTTCTTTCAGTGCGAGAACAGTTCGATCCTGGAGTCACCCAGAAATGCTGAATACATAACAAGGCCAATCAACACAGTCAGCTTTTGAATATTCATGCACAGATGATGCTCCCAGTCAATATGTTTGATTTTTGTGTTTACTGATAGATTTTCAAATTCACTGTGTAAACCAGCATTCTAAAAAAAGAGAGAGAGAAGAAAATTTAAAAAGAAAAAACAGAACAGAAACTTTTGTTGAGAGCGTACATTATTTCTGGATAGGGTTGTCATATGAAAATATTTATTCTAAAGAAAGTACTCATTGTTTATCTGAAATTCAGATTTAACTGGGCACTCTGTATTTTTATTTGCTAAATCTGGCAACCCTTTTTCTGGGCCAATAACCCTATGCAGTCAAGAGGGCTGAGGACAATATCTAGGGGATGTTCCTTCACCTGGGAGTTGAAAGGAAGGAAAGCCAAAAGAGGAGTCAGAGAAGCAGACAAGAGTCCAGAGAAATATGGAGGGAGAATCAGGAGAGTGAAGAACTAGCAGTGACACCAGAAGGAGGAAGGTAGGGGCTAGGAGGGTGCTGGTTAAGAAAAGCCTGATGGTATCTAGTTTGGCCCTTACAAAGTTGCTAGTGCTTTTGAGAAATTCTGAATCAGTGGGTCTCAATGAGGCAGGGGTGGAGATAGAGCATGCATGTCAGAATCACCTGGACTATATTAGAATTAAAATCTACATTCTAGAACTATCCCAGTTTCCCTCTGATGGCTTCAGAGAGAGGCATGTATGTATAACCCTTATCAACCCGGAACTCATGTGGTCCAGTTTTGGGACTGTGTTGTGGTTGCTAAAGCACAAAATAAGCTTTGGAAATAACATAAACCTTTTCTTGCATTTTTTATTGAAAATCGTGAAGGAGATCCAAATCCATTCCTCCCATAGGTGCCTGTGTGCCTTTGTCTCTGCCTTTGGCCACCAGATGGCATTCTGGAAGCATTCTCACCGCCAGAGTTTTCTGTACCAACGCTCCCCTGCGTTACTCCTAATTGGCCTCCTTCCCTCCTCTCTGTTCCTTCTGATCCATTTTCCAGAGCACAGCAAGTAGGGGCTTTCTGGAGGGCAAATCTGCATGATCTTGGGCAAATTACATAACCCTCTGTGTTTCATCTTCTTCCACCTGATGGCCTAGTTGTGCAGGTGCCATGAGGTGATGCAGGTAAAGCACTCGGGACAAGGAATGTAGCAGCTCTTCTCATTATCCTGCTTAGAGCCTTTCAGAGGCTCCCCCATGGCCTTCAGACAAGGCCCAAATCCTTAGCATGTGACCCCAGGCCTTCCAACATGTGGCAGTTCACCTCCCTCCTCCCCAGTCTACCTCACCGTCTCGCAGTTCTGAAAGAAGCCAGCTCACCCGCCTCCAGGCCTTTGCTCATTCTGTTCCTCTGTCTGCTTTGCCTCTCCCCTGTCCACCCACCTTACTCTGGCTGATTCCTCCCTGTCCTTCAGGATGCAGCCAAGTACCCTCCATGAGAATCTTTCCCTGACCCCCGAGCCTGAATCCAGAGCCACTCCACTGGGTCACCTCTTTCATTTTTCCCACCTGCACTCCACCTCCTCCTTAGACTGTAGTCCCCTTGGGGTCACTTCATCTTGTTCACTGCCTGGCACATAGTAGGATGAACGAGGCTGTCATGCAGACTGACTGTCACCAGAGGGCAATGAGCATGAGGCGCATCTCTGAGCTGCGGGTGCTGCTTAGCAGCCAGGGAGCATGGGACTGGCTTCCTGCAAGCACAGGCAGCACTCTGCCCGAGCCCTGAGATGAGAGGCCTGGGAATGAGCTTTCCTGGCCAGGAGGCAAACAAAAACGTGAAGGACAAGGTAAGACCATCCTCACCCGGAATAAATCCTGAAAATAATCAACAGTAAAATAATAGTCCCGTGTATTGAGTGGTTTCTCTGTGCCAGGCACTGGGATGAGCCCACAAGTATATCATCTGATTGACTCCTTACCATAAACTCATAGGAGGGTAACATTAATCCCACTCTACAGAGAAGGAAACCAAGGCTCAGAGAGGTTCAGCGACTTGCATGACATCTAAGAGCTTGTGAGTGGCCTGTCTCCAGAGCCACTTGGGGAAATGACCCCGGGATTCAGGCCCATGGCTCAGGCGATGGTTCATGGGCTTTGGTAAGATGTTTGGGTACCTGAGGTGTGGAATGTGGGGCAAAAGGACAGGGTTGTGCAGAAGAAAAGACAGAGGAGAAGAAGGGACCTCAGCTATATAGTCCGAGAGGGTCCCTCGGCCCAAGGTAGTCCCTCTGTCACCTGGTTCCTGATGGCCACAGGCCTCCATGCCAACAAGCCCTGCTGATTGGTGTCACTTAGCTCCAAACGGGGTTCCTCTGTCCCTAAGGATTCAGGTACAAACACTTATCTGGGGGAAGCTGGCCCTTCACCGTCACCTCAAATGCTTTACAGACCTCTGGAATCAACCTCCAGGTGAAGTGAAAGTTGGGGGCTGTGGGCAGCAGACTGAGAAGGGAAATGAGAAGCGACAAGGCCAGCTCAAAGGCCACCGAAGCAAACTGTCCGCCTGCCCCCCTCCTGGGCCTTACCTCTGTGAGAAGGTGAGTGAGAGGGAGGGGGCACCTCAAAACACCTAGGGGATTGTAGCGTAGAGCAGCAAGGGAGTTATAGGTCAAGAGACTGTCCTAAACAGAAGTGGGGAGAGAAGAATTGGAGGAAGGGAGGGAAAGACATAGACGAAAGGGAGAGGAAGGTGTGGGAGAGGGAAAAGCATAAAATTCTCGGAGACAGAGGAGCAGGAGGCTGGGGCTTCCCCAGACAGGGGCTCAGGCTGGACAAGACGCAGAGAACAATGGACTACGAGTCTGGGGGAAGCAGGAAGAGGAGGAGGAGGGGAGCCACACAGTCAGGTTAGAGAAATCTTTGAGGCTTCTGGAGCCAGGGTGATGGGATGGGCACCCTCATGGGTCAGTGTGGGCAAGGACTGCCCAAGGGGTAGCACAAGAGCTAAGGCAGCCACAAGGAGGGACAAGCCTTGCAGATTTCAGCACCCACCACAAATAATAGGGTCATTGCCTGTGACTCTGGCAAAGCCCAGGCTAAGGCCCTTCATGTATCACTTTGTTTAATCCTTACAACTTCCTTCTGAGAGGGTTACTGTTCTGATCCCCATCCCCACTCTACTGATGAGATTACGGAGGCCCAGAGAGGTTAAGTGACTTGTCCCAGATGACCCAGCTGATGAGTTTCAACACTGGGTTTGAACCCCGACAGTTTAGCTCTGAAGGCCGCTGTCTTAACCATAGCTGCTTCTCAGTGAGACAAAAATGGTGGACAGGTCAGAGTTAAGAGTGAGAGGTAAACAAGCGTGGGAGAAAGAAAGGGATGAGAAAAGAATAATGGGGAAAAGACAGGAATGGGGAAAGATGAGGAAGGGAAGAGAGACAAGGAACTTGCACAGGGGGCTCAGGTTCTCCGCTCACTTTGCAACGTAAGGGTTCCTTCCCTTCCCCTCAGCAGCCATCATGCTGTGAGGACAGCACTGTCCCATCCAGCCTGTCCCTGGAGCCAGCCGCATCCTCCTCAGCGGCAGGCCACTCAGCTTCACAGGAAGTGTTCTTTCTCTAATTGGCATTGAAACTCCTAGCCCTCCCTTTTCCTGTAGGTGGGGTTTCCATAGGAAAAAGCTGCTTCTCTGTTTCCCCAGCCTAGCAACTGTTTGGAAGTCAGATCCCCACATCCTGCTCTGCTGGGTCAAATCCCCCTTGGGCTGGCTCTTGTCCATCACTTGCTGAAGTAGACCGACTGGTGCCTGGTGTGGGGCCTCCCCGGACAATTTTGCTTCATTGGTGCTTGGACCTCTCAGTTCTCAGATGAAGATGGCCTTGCCCGGGAATCCTGCTTGTTCCATCATCATCTAACTATGGCACAAGGTCATAGCAGTGGGTTTGGGGGCAGGAGAACGGAGCTAACCCAGCCATCCAGGAAAAACTGGAGGACTTGCCCAGCCTTTAAAGGACTCTAGTGGTTTCTGAATCTAGCCCATTCTGGCGGTAAGCATGATGCAACTTCTGCAGTTTCTGCTGGGGCTTTGGGGGCCAGGTGGCTACTTGTTCCTTTCAGGGGATTGTCAGGAGGTGGCCACTCTCACTGTGAAATACCAAGTATTAGAGGAAGTGCCGTCTGGCACAGTAATAGGGAAGCTGTCCCGGGAACTGGGCCGGGAGGAGAGGCGTCAGCCAGAGGGGGCTGTCTTCCAGGTCTTGCAGCTCCCTCAAGTGCTCCCCATTCAGGTGGACGCTGAAGACGGCTTGCTCAGCACGGGGAGGCGGCTGGACCGAGAGCAGCTCTGCCGGCAGCAGGATCCCTGCCTGGTTTCCTTTGACGTGCTTGCCACAGGGGATTTCGCTCTGATCCACGTCGAGATCCAGGTGCTGGACATCAATGACCACCAGCCTCAGTTTCCCAAAGGTGAGCAGGAGCTGGAAATCTCTGAGAGTGCCTCTCTACATACCCGGATCCCGCTGGACAGGGCTGTTGACCCAGATACTGGCCCCAACACACTGCACACATACACTCTGTCTCCCAGTGAGCACTTTGCCCTCGATGTCATCGTGGGGCCTGATGAGACCAAATATGCAGAACTCGTGGTGGTGAAGGAGCTGGACCGGGAAATCCACTCATTTTTTGATCTGGTGTTAACCGCCTATGACAGTGGGGACCCACCCAAGTCAGGCACCAGCTTGGTTAAGGTCAATGTCCTGGACTCCAATGACAATAGCCCAGTGTTTGCCGAGAGCTCGCTGGCACTAGAAATCCAAGAAGATGCTGCCCTTGGTACTCTCCTCATAAACCTGACTGCCACCGACCCTGACCAAGGCCCCAACGGGGAGGTGGAGTTTTTCCTCAGCAAGCACGCGCCTCCGGAAGTGCTAGACACCTTCAGTATCGATGCTAAGACAGGCCAGTTCATTCTGCGTCAACCACTAGACTATGAGAAGAATCCTGCCTATGAGGTGGATGTCCAGGCGAGAGACCTGGGTCCCAATCCCATCCCAGCCCATTGCAAAGTTCTCATCAAGGTTCTGGACGTCAATGACAATGCCCCTAGCATCCATGTTACGTGGGCCTCCCAGTCACCACTGGTGTCAGAAGCTGTTCCCAAGGATAGTTTCATTGCTCTCGTCATGGCAAATGACTTAGACTCAGGAAACAATGGTCTGGTCCACTGTTGGCTGAGCCAAGAGCTAGGCCACTTCAGGCTGAAAAGGACCAATGGCAATACATATATGCTGCTTACCAATGCCACGCTGGACAGAGAACAGTGGCCCGAATATACCCTCACTCTGTTAGCCCAAGACCAAGGACTCCAGCCCTTATCAGCCAAGAAACAACTCAGCATTCAAATCACTGATGCCAATGATAATGCACCTGTGTTTGAGAAGAGCAGGTATGAGATCTCCACTCGGGAAAACAATCTACCCTCTCTTCACCTCATCACTGTCAAGGCTCATGATGCAGACTTGGGCATCAATGGAAAAATCTCATACCGCATCCAGGACTCCCCAGTTTCTCACTTGGTAGCTATTGACTCAGACACAGGAGAGGTCACTGCTCAGAGGACACTGGACTATGAACAGATGGCCAGCTTTGAGTTCCGGGTGATTGCAGAGGATAGGGGGCAGCCCCAGCTTGCATCCAGTGTCTCCATGTGGGTCAGCCTCCTAGATGCCAATGATAACTCCCCAGAAGTGGTTCAGCCTGTGCTCAACAATGGAAAAGCCAGCCTCTCAGTGCTTGTAAATGCCTCCACGGGCCACCTTCTGGTGCCCATCGAGACTTTCAATGGCTTGGGTCCAGCTGATGTTGACATACCACCACTGGCCACCCACAGCTCCCCGCCATTCCTTTTGACTACCATTGTGGCAAGGGACGCAGACTCAGGGGCAAATGGAGAGCTCCTCTACAGCATTCGGAGGGGTAACAAAGCTTGCCTCTTTGTCCTCAGCCCCCACCTAGGGCAGCTGTTCATCAATGTCACCAATGCCAGCAGCCTCATTGGGAGCGAGTGGGAGCTGGAGATAGTGGTAGAGGACCGTGGCAGTCCCTCCTTGCAGACCCAAGCCCTGTTGAAGGTCATGTTTGTCACCAGCGTGGACCACCTGAGGGACTTGGCCCATGAGCCCGGGGCCCTGAGCACACCAGTACTGACGGTGATTTGCCTGGTTGTACTACTGGCCATCTTCGGGTTGATCTTGGCTCTGGTCATGTCCATCTGCCGGACAGAGAAGAAGGACAACCGGGCCTACAACTGTCGGGAGGCTGAGTCCACGTACCGCCACCAGCCCAAGAGGCCCCAGAAACACATTCAGAAGGCAGACATCCACCTTGTTCCTGTGCTCAGGGGACAGGTGGATGAGCCTGGTGAAGTTGGACAGCCCCACAAGGACACAGGCAAGGAAGCGAATACGAGTGAAGGCTGGGACCCCTGCCTGCAGGCCCCCTTTCACCTTACTCCGACCCTGTACAGAACCTTGCGTAACCAAGGCAACCTGGGAGCACTGACTGAGAGCCAGGAGGTGCTGCAGGACACAGTTAACCTCCTTTTCAACCACCCCAGGCAGAGGAACGCCTCCCGTGAGAACCTGAACTTTCCTGAGCCCCAGCCTGCGTTGGGCCAGCCACGCTCAAAGCCCCTGAAGGCTGCAGGCAGCCCCACTGGGAGACTGCTCGGAGACCAGGGCATTGGGGAGGCCCCGCTGAGCCCACCAGCCTCCTCTGCAACCCTGAGGCGGAAGCGGAATCTCAATGGTAAAATGGTTCCTGAGAAAGAGTCAGGCCCCCGTCAGATCCTGCGGAGCCTGGTCCGGCTGTCCGTGGCTGCCTTCGCAGAGCGGAACCCTGTGGAGGAACTCACCATGGATTCTCCTCCTGTTCAGGTATCTCAGGTGTGGGTAGTCCCTTCCTGGTCACCTCTGGACCACCAATAGTGGCATCAGACACCCCTATTACCCTCACGCTCCTTACAGCCATACCTTTATGGTACATGGTGTGGCAGTGGTTCAGGGCACAGCTCTGGGGTCAACAGAACTTACCACCTGTGTGATCCTGGGCAAAGCACTTACTGTCTCTGAGCCTTAGTCTCCTTATCTGTAAAACAGGGGTGATAGGAAGAGTATCCACCTTGTAGAGTTGTCCTGAGGATTTGATCAGTTAATCCCTATAAAGCATTTACTCATGATGCTTGGCACAAGTAGACACACAGCAAAGGTAGTGATTAAAACCACAAGCTTTGGAGCAAGGTTGCCTGGGTTCATATCCTGGCCCTATCTCCTCCAAGCTGTAGGGAAGTTACTCAATTTCTCTGTTGAGGATGTTGATGCTAACAGCACCTACCTCCTAAGTTTACTGTGAAGATGAAATGAGTTAATGAACTTAATGCCCTTAGAACAGTGTCTGGCAGGCAGGCAGTACTCAGCAAATGATTACTATTGTATGATTGCACAAAGTACTTCTGCAAAGCACTTCTTCATATCCACTGCCCTCATCTTATCTGGGCAACTTCCCTATGAAGTAGGCCAGCATGCGCATCATTGCACTGGCTCAGGGGGCCTGCATTTGACTTGCCTAAGAGTCTATAGCTTATAGGCTGGGTGTGGTGGAAACAACCTTGGAACTTGGGAGTTAGGCAGATCTGGGTTCAAATTTCAGCACAATCACTTAGGAGCTGTGCAACCTTGGACAAGTCTTTTAACATATAAGCCTCATTTTCCTCACCTATAAAATGGGGATTGTAACGGCAAACTTTCCCTGCATCACCTCCCAGGGGGGTGTGACGATTAAACGGGATGATGAATGACAAAATGTCTAGTGACTTGGGATTTCCTAGACACAAATGGGAAACCTTTTTCAGGGTTGGTGCTTGATTTCATACCCATATCCGCTCCTCTGATCCCCTGTATAATTTTCACTGTGTGAGGCTGCACACCCAAGGCACGCTTCTGTTTGGTCAGGCCATCAGCTTAGATTTCTGTACAGCAAGGACACGGCTTCCTTCCCCCATTCCCTCCCCAGGAAGCCACCTGGAGTGAGCCCAGCTGCTCTCGTAGGAGTCTTGCCCTGGGCTCCATGCAGCCCCAGAGGTTGCCAAGAGCCGTTCATTCAATCATTCATTCATCAAGTGCTTATTGGATGAGTGCCTTTTGCCAAACACTCTGCTGGTTGCTGGTGAATAGAGACAACAGAGAGGCACTATGGGTGATCCAACTAGGGCAATGGAAAGAAGGGTACCCATTTGGAAGTAACTTGAGGGTAAGAAGCAGCTTGCCTAGTGTACATGTCTCTTGTGTGCTGCACAGCGCTGCAGGGGAGTCAGGGTACTGGGTTTAATTCTAGCTCTGCCACTAATTGCTATGTAATCCCTATGAGCCTCAATCTTCACATCTGCAAAATGGGTGTAATAGTATCTCTTCCCTTGGGTTATTTTAAGGATTAAATGAGATTGTATACTACCTGGTAAGTTATTAAGTGCTTATTATGGGATCTATTAATAAGTGATCTATATACTTTGGCTCATTTCATTCTCATAGCCACCACATGACCTGGGTTTCACTATTATTTCCATTTTTAGTGCTGAGGATATTGAGACTCAGAATGCTCAAGATCCCACAGATGGGAACTGGGGCAGATGCAGACTTAGGGTTTGAAGCTGAGTCTGACTCAGAGTCTGGGCTCTGTGAAGTTACCCTGCGTGACAGTGACCAGTACAGGGCTGGGTATACAGAAGTGTCCCTGAAATGTCAGCTGTCATTCAGACATAGGCTGGCAGGTGCCTTAGGAGGGCTTCCGGGCCTGGGTCAGGGGCTCAGGTTGGGATCTGCCCTGAGGTGGGCAATGGGACCCTGACCCTCCCAAGTCACGAGGAAACCCCAGTCCTGGCCACACCCTCTCCTAATTCTCCTCTGAGGTTGGCACTTCTTGCCTTGAGCTGTCCAGAGGGACAGAGTGGGCCTCCCCATGGAGGAATGGGGTGAGCCCAGGAGGCAGGGGCAGTGTTTCCAGGAGTAATAACCCAAATCCTTTGCATTTGAAGTAATTCTTAACTTTTTCAAACCATCTAATTAATCTCCACAATTTGTGAAGAAGTCTGGGTGGGGATTTCTAGCCCCACCTTAGAGATGAGGAAACTGAGTCCTGAGAAGTTTCAAAACCCTGCCTGACATTACACAACAAACTAGAGACGGCCTGAATTAGAACTCAGCCTCCCAAGACTTGGCCTGTTGCCTTCTCCCTCATAAGGCCCTGTAGGGCCTGGCTATGACATCTCACCCGCCCTCACCCCATTCTCCAGCCTTCCTGAAACGCCACCATCTCTTCCGGCCTTTCAGCCTCTCAGCCTTTCCGCTCGCAGTGCCTTCTGCCTGAAACCTACCCTTCACCCCTCCCGCAGCCCTCACCCCAACTCCCCACTTACCAAACTCCTGTCGAACCTTCGGGACTCAACAGAGATGCTGGCACATAGTATGAACTCAATAGACATTTGTTGATAAACGAATAAATTTTCTCCAGTATCCCTCTCTTGCCCCCACTCCAAATCAGGCTAGGGGCTCTCCTCTGTTCCCACAGACCCCTATCCTTTCTCAACTACCAGTGTAACCCCCAGTGGTACCACTGCTCCCTGTCTTCCCTGAGAGACTGTGAGTTCCCTGAGGGCTCAGAGTCCCTGAGTCTTGTTCTCATTCTTATTCCCAGACAGGCCCTTATTAAATACTTGTTGAATGAATGAAAGGAGATGGATAAATGAATGATTAAATAACACCATTTTGCCTTCTCCACTACATAATCATACATCTGGCCCACAAAAATAGGCTGAGTGTTTGAATACTGTTGAAGGGGGAAATAGCCATTTGTTTAAGATAATCTTTATCAAAGTAATAATGAATTTACAGTCAAGAAATGCCCTTTTCACCCCTATCCCACAGATTCCACCAGAAGCAGGTCACTTGGGGGAGTGAGGGGGAGGGGGATGGGTCCAGAGGGCCCCCATTCTCTCCCTCAAGCACCCAAGTCCTGGGGTGACATGGCGAAGCAGGGAACCTGCCCATACAGGTCTGCGACACCCAGCACCATCCCCCACCTGATCACACAAACATCTGAAGCTGGAGGAAAGACTATAAAAAGAAAGCACCGGCATTGAAGGAAACATCCGGCGAGGAAGTGTGCTGGGTCGGAATTGTGTGGAGTCAACAGATTTTTCCTGTCTTGTAGCAAATTTCCCAGCTGCTGTCCTTGCTGCATCAGGGCCAATTCCAGCCCAAACCAAACCACCGGGGAAATAAGTACTCGGCCAAGCCCGGCAGCGGTGGCAGGTAAGCAGCACGTAGCCCCGAAGGTTTCTGGAGTCCCCCACTAGCATGGCCCTCACCCCTGGGATCACCTTTGTGACGTGAGAAAGGGGTGAGCACAGCCCCAGACCCTGCTGTCCTGGGAGAAAGCAGCAGACAGCACCCATCCCCCATCCCAGCCAGTTTGGTCCTGGTCACTGTATTTACAGTATTTACAGGACCCAGAGTCACTAAGGAAATGACTTCATCCCTGAGGCTCTGTCTTTCCCCTGGTTACAGAGGTGCTGGGTTATCAGCTTTAAATCTGTAACTTTCGCCTTTCTTTCTCTTGACCTTAAACATAATATGAAGGCCTTCTGCTAAGGGCGTGGATATGTGGGTGCGTCCCTTTGGGTAGTCCTAGAACTGAAGAGACCTCAGAGGACATCTTATCTAACTCCTTGTTACAGATGGAGAGACTGAGGCTCTAAGTAGTTTGATCTAACCCTATGTAAACTTGAGCAAGTCAGATAATCTCTTAGGGCCTCAGTTTTCTCATTTGTAAAATGGGGGTCCCAACACTTCCCTTGTAGAGGTATGGGAAGGATTTAATGATCAAATGTATTCTAAGCCCACAGTCCAGTGCCTGATACATGATAGTGCTAAAGCAATACTAAGTCCTTTCCCCTTAAGGCAACTTTGCTCAAGGTCACATAGGAAGGGAGGTGGTAGGGAGATGGCAGAGCTGGGACTGGTCCTCAGGGCCTGGGATTCCTGGTTCAGTGCTCTAGCCATGACATCTTGTAGCTTCTTTTTAGCAAAGATGGTCAGAGGTAGTATGGAGTAGGGGTGAGCGGACACATGAAGGCTACATGACCTGGGCTTGAATTATTGCTCTATCACTTAATTCATGAGGACTTTGGGCAAGTTGCATAATCCTTACAAGCCTTGGTTTCCTCATTTATAAAATGGGGATGATAACAAGAGAACCCCTTACAGCTGTGAAAGGTTTGAATGAGAAGGTACATGTACCCTGCTCAATCAACATTGCTGTTGGAGTTAGGTGCCATCAAGTCCATTTCAACTCGTCGTGAGCCCATATGTGACAGAACAGAACTGCCCCATAGGGTTTTCTAGGCTGTAACCTTTATGGGAGCAGATCGCCAAGGCTTTCTCCTGCAGAACTGCTGGGTGGGTTCGAACCACCAACCTTTTGGTTAGCAGTTGAGCACTCAACTGTTGCATCACAAGGACTCCTTCACTCAACTTTAGTTGTTGTTAATACTACTCACAAACTTGCCACCTTCCTGCTGGTTCCTTCACAGCAGCAGAAATGGCCAAGAGGACTCCCAGGCCCTAAAACCCCTCAGGGAGCCTTCCTGTCTGTCAGGGAGAAGGGCCAGGTCTGTGCCCTCATGTCGAGACAGTCCCAGCTGGCCTCTCCCAAGAGACAGGGAGGGTTTATAGGAAAGAGCTATAATCTTAATGGAAGCATATCACCAGGACTTTCTTCCGTGGTACTGCTGGGTGGGTTTGAACTGCCAACCTTTAGCCAAGTGCAAACCATTTGCCTATACAGCAATTCTACTCTATAACACATGGAGTCACCATGAGTCAAAATCAACTTGATGGAAACGATTTTTTTGTTTTGTTTTTTTATACAAAAGAGGGAGCAGGATGGAGCCAGCAGGACTTTGGGATGTGGGAAGTAGAGTCTGAGCAGCTTTAGGATGCTTCACCTCACTTACATCCTCCATAGACCTGCTCTTCTGCCCTGAATTTGACCTCAAACAGGGAGGAGGGGACATTCAGCTATCCATTCTGTGAAATATTTATTACCTACTATGTGCCAGGCAGAAACCCTGGTAGCATAGTGGTTAAGAGCTACGGCTGCTAACCAAAGGTCGGCAGTTCGAATCCATCAGGTGCTCCTTGGAAACTCTATGGGGCAGTTCTATTCTGTCCTATAGGGTTGCTATGAGTCAGAATCGACTCGACAGCAACGGGTTATGTGCCAGGCAGAGCCCTGGTGGCACAGTGGTTAAGCGTTAGGCTAGTAACCAAAATGTTGGCGGTTCAAACCCACCAGCAGCTCCAAGGGAGAAAGATGTGGCAGTCTGCTTCGGTCAGCATTTACAGCCTTGGAAACCCTATGGGGCAGTTCTACTCTGTCCTATAGGGTCACATGAGTCAGAATGACTTGACAGCAGTGGGTTTGGATGTGCCAGGCACTGTCCTGAGAGAGTAGGGAATGAGACAGACAAAAATCTCTGCCCTCACTGGAGCTCACATTCTGATGTACGGATGAATGACTGTATGGGTTTCAGGGCTTTGAACTGGTTCGGACAAGTTCCCAGGAAGTTATACATAAGAATCACCTGCGGATCTTGTTAACATGTAGATTCTGATTCGGTGTATCTGGGGTGGAAATGCAAATTCTCAGCAGGGAACTTGTTAGAAATGCAAATTATCAGCAGTGGTTCAAACCTGACCAAATTGGTTCAAAGACCTGATTGGTTCAACTGAAGTTTACTAAACTCCTCCTACTCTGTGCCAAAAGTTGCAAAGGCATTGGAGGAACACCGGTGAGTAATAATATCAATGCACTCATAACTACTTCCATTTGTTGAGTGTTTAGGAGGTACCAGGCACTATGCAAAGCCTCTCATATACAACATCTCATTTTACCCTCACAACAATCCATAAGGTGGGTGTTATTTATTATCCCCATTTTACAGATGAGGAAACTGAGATTCAGAGTAAGCAACAGGGCTGAGATTACATACCCAGGTTGGTCTGACTCTGAAAGCTGCCGTATATACCCACTCTCCTATATGGATAAACAAATGCTGGTGAGAATAGTATGAATGAATGAATAAAATGAATGAACCTATGTTTGCATTTCCTCACTAATAGACTGGGTTGTCTTCTTTTGCAGGAGTACAGTACTAGATACAGAAGGCACAGGTGCCAGGGTTGGTGGCCAGGCAGAACTGGACCAGGAGGAGGGGCTCTTGGACCCTGAAGAAGACCTCTCTGTGAAGCAGCTGCTAGAAGAAGAGCTGTCAAGCCTACTGGATCCCCACACAGGTAGGGTCTCCGCATGGTCACTTCAACACTTCTTCTGCCTTCAGAGTCCTCACACTCTCAGGCTTCAGAGTTCTACTCCAGAGTTCTACACAGCTATTCTTTTTTTAGGAAGGAACACTGGCTCCATTTTACTTCCCCTGGAGTCTCAGAAGGTACTTGTTTGTTTATAGACCAGGTTCTACTTTATTAACTATAAAGTCATCGTAAGGTGAATGATTACTGAGCTCTTGCTGTAGGCTAGGCACTGGGGAAGCATCTTGCACACATTATCTCATTTAAGACTCCAAACAGTCCTCTGAGGTAGGTATTATTATTAGCTCCAATTTACAGATGAGCAAACTGAGGCTCAGAGAGGTAAAGTACCACAGTGATTGAAGAGGGGCTGAAACCTGGGCCTGCCTGGCATCAGTTGTTGTTTGCCGTTGAGTCAAGTCCAACTCAGCAACCGTACATGTCAGGGTAAAATTGCCCCATAGAGTTTCCAAAGCTGTAATTGTTATGGGAACAGATAACCCGGTCTTTTCTCCTATGAAGCCGTTGGTGGGTTCGAACTGCCGACCTTTTGGTTAGCAGCCCAGCTGCTTACCATTCTGCCACCAGGGCTCCTTGCCCAACATCAGACTTCCCCTTAACTCCTAAACCATTCACTTGCATTTCTTTGGTATATTTAAATTTCCTTTCACCCTGGGAACTGAGTCAACTCTTTAATGTGCTAATATTTCTAATTGAAGCCAAAGGGGTTTTTTTCTGTAGTGAGACAATTAGTTTTGACATAAATACATAACGAGAAGTTTAATTCAAGAATCAGCTAGCTGTCTCCCCTGCTGTGGACATTGGCCTGCCTTCTTTACGTACCACACCACACCTCGGACAATCCTTACGCTGTGGTTTTTCTGTTTCTGCAGTTAACAATTTATTTCTCATGTGGACATATCCTGTCTCCTCCATCTGGCTGCAAACATGCTGAAGACTTCCTTTTCCTTGGTTAAAAAAAAGTAGCAAACAGTTATTGAGCACTTTCTATGTGCTAGTCCCTGTTCTAAATGCCTCATGAAAATCATATGAATAGGTGCTACTCATTATTTCCTACTTGTAAAGGAAAAAACTGAGAGGCAGAGTTGTTTAACGGTTTGCCCAAGGTCATGCAGCTAATGGTTATTAACACAGGTGCACAACTCTAAATTTTAGAGCTGAGCTGCCCAATACAGTAGCCACCAGCCATGTGTGACTATTTAAATTTAAATTTTAATTAATTAAAATTAAATAATGTGAAAAATTCAGTTCTGCAGTCATACCAGCCACATTGCAAGTGCTCGGTAGCTAACATGTGGCTTGTGGCTACCGCTTTGGACAGGGCATATACAGAAAGTTTTATAGGGCAGCATTGTCTAGAATGTACAACTATACTGTCCAATATAGTAACCACTAGCCATATGTGGATACTAACATTTGAAAAATGGATAGTCCCAATTGAGAGGTACTATAAATACAAAAAACACTCCAGATTTTGAAGACTTAGTATAAAAAATATATAAAATATCTCAATAATTTTTAAAGTATTAATCACAATATAAAATGATAATAATTTTGATATAATGGGTGAAATAAAATATATTTTTAAAATTAATTTCACGTGTTTCTTCTTACTTTGTTTTAGAAAATTTAAAAATTACGAATGTGGCTCACATTCTATCTCTATTGGACTGCCCTGGGCTAGAACCTGTGTGCTAGGTTCCCACAAGGTCCTGCCTCCCCACAGCACAGCAGGCACTTAGTACACGGGGACTATAAGAAGTAGGGGGTAAGGGTAAAGAGAGAAGCAGGGATAGAAACAGCCTTTGCTGTTCTTGGGCTGGGCTATGATAGCACTACTGGCGCGGTGCCTGAGACCGGGCACTTTGCTGCTTCAAACAAAAGCCCTATCTGATGATGTGATGATAACAATATTTTACTGGTTGCATCACACACCAGATTCTCACAACAACCCAACAAGATGAGTACTACTATCTCACCATTTTATGAGGAAAGGGAGGCTCAGAGAGGTTAAGCAATTTTCCCAAGGTCACACTGCCCCTAAGTGGCAAAATTGGGAAATCAAACCCAGGTCAGCCCCTTGCCCACCTGAAGCCTGGAGCTGGTGGGTGATGCCGAGGGAATTCACTATCACTCTTCAGTTGCACTGTGTTCTCATACGCCCCAGTGATTTTCTCATTCCAAGCTTTGCTCTTTCTGAAGCTCTCTGACCCTTGTACGAGGAAAGGCCTGATTCTGTAACACCAAAAGAGTTTCCACCTTATTGCCTCAAGTCTCAGGGAACTAAGGCTTACAATTCCAAAGTGTCTAGGGTTAATATTTATGTTCACTCAATCATTCAGCAAACATTTCACTAAGCCTCGGGCACCAGGCTAGGCTGAAGGATCCGTAGGGAAGGGGCCCAACCTCACCTCACTGCCTGTGTAGTCTAGCACTGACCACGTAAGAGAGAGACTCACTTATCCATATAATTAGCTTTATTTTTTAATAACTTTTTCAAATTACAAAACTAATATTTGGCTACTGTGGGAAATATAGATAATCAAAAAGAATAAATTCACTTCTGCCCAGGGGTAATTTCGGTTAACATTTTGGCATATCTCCTTCCAGTCTTTTTTTTCCATGCACAGATTTCAAAGCAACTCATCTTAAGCAAACATTACATAAATGTTAAAGTAAATTTTATGCCTTTTTTTTAGACAGTTTCTTTTTTTATGTTTAAATCTTTTTATTATGGGTGTAAAAATATATATAACACATTTGTCAATTCAATATTTTTCAGGTATATAACTTAGTGATATCAATTACATGACTCATGTTATGCAACCATTACCCTTAATTGCTGCCAAATTTCCCATCACCATAAAGAGAAATTCACTGCTTCCCAAACAATGGCTCTCCCTTTCCCTCTTCCACCAGCCCCTGGTAGCGACTAATAAACTTTGGTCTCTATCCATTTGCCTATTCTTGTTTAGACAGTTTCTTAACCACAAGGCTTCTACTTTCCTTTCTTCCCTCTCACTTGGCCTCTACAGTCAGACCCTAGGGCTAGTTTTTTGAGACCAATTTTCTGTGGAAGAGATGGGAAAAGGAGACGTGTAAAGGTGGCACTGGCGATCTAGCAGTTTTTCAATTTCCCAGCCACCAGGCTGACTTGCCACTGCCTCTGCCTCAGTCCCCTTCCTGGGCAGCCCTTCGCTGCATTTCCTGCCTGCTGCTTGAAAGGTGAAGGTGTTGAGGAGTTGAGGGCGTGGGGTCGGGTGGTGACAGAGGAGGCCTGGGAATCCCAGAGGCCACAGATGGAACCTGGAGCATCCAAGGGTAGGAAGAGCCAGCTCTTCAGAGAGTGGGCAGGATGGTGCAGTCACACAGGGCTTCAAAGTCATCAAACCTGTGGACAAATCCTAGTTGCCTGGTATATGTGAGTTAACTTCTTTGCACTTCCGTTTCTTCATCCATAAAATGAGGATAATACTCTTGACCTCAAAGGTTTGTGTGAAGGTTAAATGAGATAATTATGTAAATTACTTGGCACTTAAATACCTAAGAAGTGATGGCTATTACTGTGAATATGAACAGAAGGCAGCACCAAGCCAGACACTCTAGCCCTGGCTAAGAAAAGGGATTTTTCCCCCCATCTTCAGTTAGTGGCGCCCTGAGGGTAGAAGTCTCCCTGAGGGGGTGAAAATCCTGGCTGTACAGGAGTGAGTGGGACGCCTAGACCTGACATGCACCACGGACTGGGAAATGCTTTAGAAAGAGGCCAATTTCTAATTCTAGGCCTTCCTCCTCCTGCCTCCTCCCTACTCAGCTCACCCGAGTGCTTCAGTCACCCTCCTTCCTGCCCAGGGAGCTTGCCTGTCAGGGCCCCTTCCCTTCCTTCCCCCTCTGTCTGCCCGTCTGTCCCCCTGCCATTTCCCTTCCCTCCTTTGTCCAGTGCCCTCACACCGCCCCCAGCCCTGCCCACCGCCTGGCTCTCCCGGGCGGCCCTCACTGTGTCCCTTCCTGCCCCTGCAGGCCTGGCCTTGGACCGGCTGAGCGCCCCCGACCCAGCCTGGATGGCGAGGCTCTCTTTGCCCCTCACCACCAACTACCGCGACAACGTGTGCTCCCCGGACGCTGCGGCCGCGGAGGAGCCTCGGACCTTCCAGACGTTTGGGAAGGCGGCGGGGCCTGAGCTGAGCCCTACGGGCACGCGGCTGGCCAGCACCTTCGTTTCAGAGATGAGCTCACTGTTGGAGATGCTGCTGGCGCAAAGCTCCAGCGTGGTACCCGTGGAAGCCGCCTCTGAGGTGCTGCGGCGGCTGTCGGTCTGCGGGAGGACCCTCAGTCTGGACCTGGCCACCAGCGGGACCTCAGGCACGGAAGCCCAGGGTGCCCCAGGTGGAAAGACGGGGGCCAAGGGCAGGACCTGCAGCAGTAGCAGCAGCAGAGGTCTGTGAACACATTTTGGGGATCTCTGGATCCAGGAACCAGGGGCCCTGGGAGATGTTAGGGAGCCCAGGCTCTAAGGATCCTGGGACATGAGCTGGTTTCTAAAATCTTTGAACTCACTGACCGAGGTGCCTGAGAACTTTAAGGTGACCAGTGCTGCCCCGGCAAAGGAGGCTGGTGCCCCAGGACTCACATCTGTCTCACCAAAGCAGGCTCCCTTGTTAGGGACTGGCTCTGCCTGTGAATTTTTTGCAGGATGGGACAGTTTGGGGCTGAGATAGGTGTTTGCTGGCAAAACACACACAGAGTGCAAAGAGTCAGTCTTCCAGTGGAACAGATGCCAAGGAGTGTCACAAGCAGGAAAAGTTGGCCTTGTTGGATACTAGGGGTAGGGAGCTGGATCCTGGGGGCCCCAGGCAATGCTCTCTGATGTACTAATAAAGGAAAAGCAGTGGCTCACTCTTCTGTTTACACCTGTCAAGAGGGAGGGGGGAAGAGTAGCGGAGTGAGGGCTGTTTGTCATCCACTGACAAGAGAGTCTTACTGGGCCTGGACTGGGGGAAGTTGGTGCACAGCATGTTAGGTACACAAATATTGGACATGTGTACTCTTGAGCCCACTCCTAGTGCTACATTATCAAATAATCTGCTGCTCAGCTGGTAAATTGGGGCTACGAAAAGCGCTACTATTTATAGAACATTTACAGAAGCCATGCACCAGACTTTACAATATGATTTAACTTAATTTTCACCACAGCCCTGGAAGGGAGGTATTATTATTATCCCCATTCACAGACAAGAAAATGAGGATCGGAAAGGTTGAGCATCTTGCCCAAGACACCCCCTAAGCAGGGAGAAGGGGCACAGCCAGTATCTGGACCCAGGCTTGTCCAACACCAAAACCCATGCCCTCATCCTTGACACTGGACTGCCAGCCAAGGAAAAGGGAAAGCCTCCAAAGGTGGGCTTTTGCCAGAGGTGGACTTGTCTGAGCTTCCCTCAGGAAACACTGTGAAATGAACATTTCTAGTGGTGCTCAGGCCTGCACATCTCTGTGAACTTCCAAGCACAGAGCAAGAGGAGCTTGGATCTGGCCTGATGCAGGCCCCTGTCCTTCCCCAGTGAGCGGCCCTTCAGGGTTGTCTTTCCTGACTCACTATTTGTGGGTAAATCTCCTATCACAGCAGCAGGCTCAGGCTGTGAATTCAGTCCCCAGGGGACAGTGTATGAAATGGGTCTATGAAATGGACACTGACAGCAGGGGACATTCCGGGGAGTAGTGAGTGAAGAAAGAGCAAATGTTTTCCCAAGACTCAGCCTTATAATTTTCCTGGAAATTTCCAAGCAGTCAGCTAGATTCTCAATAGCACAGGACTCTCTGGACACTGAAGGCAACATTTCTTCTCCGTGGTCCTCCTTTTGTCCTCTGTTAGAGCTTACTACTTATGTCCACAGAAATGGGCCGATCATCCATTCAGCTAGCGATAATGAAAATCACACATACCTGGAATGGAGGATGGCATCATCATTTCATTTTACAGATGAGGAAAATGAGGCCCAAAGTAATTAAGTGCTTAAGGGGCAAGATGAGAACTGGGTCTCTTATCACCTGACTCCAGGCCTGAGTGATCTCTTTCCAAGGTTCCACAGGTCAATGAGGGAGGCAAGGGGGAGAACAAGCAGGCAGGATCCCTGGTGCTGGGCATAGAGCTGATACTTGATGAATGTTTGTTGAATGCATGAATGAATGGATGGGTAAATGAAGGCTTCACCCAGAGACCCCTCTTATCTATACAGGAGATCCAGATAAGATTTCATTAGAAAAACAAAAACAAACAAACAAAAAAGTTGTGTAACGTAAAAGCAGAATCTGAAACCACAGCACCTGAGTAGACCATGCTGACTGATGCCCTAGTTACTAGTGAATTTTCAGTGCAGAGCTGATGTTGGGGAGGTGGAAAGGAGAAGAGATGGGGGAGGAGGTGCCCTGAGGACCCTGGAACCATGGCTGGCAGCTGGACTATTGGCAACAGTAGATCACCGCATCACTTTAGTTCAGAAGTCCTAAATCTATAGTCCTTGTGGCTCCTGAATAGTAGGCAACACTTCGTGTATAAGCAGTTTTCTGGGCAGAAGATACAAAGCTCTCCTCAGATTCTCAAAGGAACATGTGACCTATAAAACGTTATGCAGCACTGCTCTAAGATACTATCAAACCTCTGCAGACATGGGCAATTTCAGTCATAAGGAGTCTGAACATTTGTTTACTACAGCTCTTCATTTTATAGCCAAGGACATGGAAAGACAGAAGTGTTAGATGACTTGCCCAAGGCCACATGGCAGGTTCGTGGCAGAACTAGGACTTGGATGTGGGATTTAGAAGATGTTCTTTCAAGTACATCAAGAGTTCTTTTGTTGTTGTTGTTATTGCAAATATATACAAAAGAACAGACACCAATTCAACAATTTCTACATGTACAATTCAGTGACATTGATTACATTCTTCAAGTTGTGCAACCATTCTCACCCTTCTTTTCTGAATTGTTCCTCCCCCACTAACCTAAACTCACTGCCCCCCTAAGTTTCCTATCTAATCAATCTTCTGAGTTGCTGGTATATCAAGGCTTCCTAACCTGGGGTCATTGGTGGGACTTCAGGATCTATGAATCCTCTTAATTGCATGCAAATCTGGAAGGATGTTCAGTTTTCTAGGGGAAGGAGTCAGTAGTGTTTTCATCAAGTTCTCAAAGGGGTCTGTGACCTAAATAAGATTAAGGACCACTGCTATGGCAATCCTCTAGGTCAGTCCTCAGCTCTGCCCCCTGCAGAAGCCTAGGGAACTCATGTGTAGATCCTGTTCTGAGACAACAGATCTTTGATGGGAAGGGGTGTATGAGTGTGAGTGTTGGCTACACTTCGCTAGCTCTCTCCTGCATCATGCAATCCCCACCCCCAGCATACTGATACCAGCCCCTTTCCCAACAACAGGCTAAGAGTGAAACAGTGTGTATCGTGACAGAACTGAGAGTGCTGAACGGGAAAGTTACAGAAACTTCTTGACCTCAGCCAAGATGTCAAAGCTGAAACTTTGGTCAGGCTCAAAACAGTTCCCACCAAGCTGGGCTCTGTCCCCTGGGAGGCTGAGGGAGCAGGCGAGCCAGCGAGCACTCAGTTAAATGTTGTCTTAATTTGGAAAGCACAGAGGGACATTTTTTATCAATAGTCAGCCGTTCCCCAGCTCACTCAGAGCCTCGGGGCAGCTCGGAGATTGACAGGCAGCCTCGTTGCTTGTCACCCAACTTTAGTTTGGCAGCTCACTGACCCTACTTCTCCTCTGGCTGAATCAAGAGTGAGATGGCAACAACTACCCTTGGGACTCTGGGGAGAACCAATCCCAAAAAGAAGACAGGGTGGGGTGGGAAGTCTTAGCACCGGCCCAGCCTGGCACAGTGTGCATTAGCAGATAGGTCACTATTTTCTAGCCTCTTCTTAGTATCAGCCACAATGTAATGGGTGGTGGGGGATACATGATCAGAAACACTCATTCAACAGATATTTTGTATTTATTGAACACTATTAAGTGCCAGAAGTAGCACTAGGAACAGCAGAGCAGGGAGGGGTATACAGAATCATTCATTCATTGAACAATTATTTAAAGCACCTACTATGCACTGGGTAGGCCTGGTGCCAGGCACTGGGTGGAGAGGCAGGGAGATGCTTAGACTCATTCATTATTCACTGAATAAATATTTACTGAACACCTAAGTGCTCAGTACCGTATTAGCACTGAAGATAAAATGAACCAAATGCCCTTGTTCCCACCTAGCATTAGGGCTCCCTGAGAAGTATCCCCAGATAAGGAAACGGAAGCAGCAGAACCTCATACAAGGTCTCATCCTTGAGGGCACCAGGCCCTGAGCCTTGAGCCACCCAGCATCCTGACTCAGGCTAGACCTTCTGATGTGGAGCCGCCTCCCTGTTCTTCCCTCACATTTCCTCTCAGGGCACTGATGAGGAGTCATTACTAACAGAATTTTAATGGCAAAAGCACAGCAGTTCCCAGTCTGCCTGCTGATGAAACCCATCCCCTGGGGCTGTATCAAGACCGCAGTGACTGAACAGCCAAGGATTTTTGGTCCCTTGACAACGTCTCTCACGACTCTCCCATCCTTCCCTCTCCACCTGGAGAGTCCTTTCCTTTTTAAATTGGAGAGCTTAAAAATATCCCACCCCCACCTTGGGCACCTTGAACTGAATGTGTTTAACTTGCAACAATGAGAGCTACACCCAGCTGTCCCCACATGACGCTCAGTGCCCATGAACCCTTGGCACCCCAGGCATGGTCAGGAGGAAGCTATAATCAAAGAACCCAAAATGACAACAGGAGGGGAAGAGGCTGGTAAGTGGGGCTCCATGGGGAGGGCAGAAGGTGACATTTTATACAGAGCCTCCCCAAGGGCACCCCAGGCAGCCTAATAGGCAATTTGCGGGGTAACGGGTCTGCTCAGCTCAGTGAGGTAAACATTGGGTTAACCAAGTTCTTTACCGTAGGGCTTCTTGGAACTTTGAATATGCTGATGTGCAATGTGAATCTATAAAAAGGGGATGTCTAGTGCAGTGTTTCCCAAACTTGTTTGACCACAGAAATCTTTTTTTTTTTTTTTTTTGCAGAACGATTAGTGCACTGCACAGCTTTAAAACTGAGCTTTATCCATGGGTATTGAGTTCCTGCAGGCCCCTGCATGGGGCCCTGGGCTAAGTGCTGAGGATACTGAAACACAAAGGAGACAGTGTCCCCGCTCCCAAGGAGGCAGGCGTGTGAGGGCCTGGTGGGGGTGAGGCCACTGTGCAGGGCAGCTGAGGAAGTGGAGCAGGGGGCAGGGGGGCTGCTGGGGCAAGAGGAAGCTTAAGGTGCCATCAGTGAGAGTGAGGCCGGGACCACTAGAGGTGAGGGACAGGAGGGGGTGGGCAGTAGAGAGGAAATGCGGGAACTCTTCCCCCAAATCCTCCTACTTTTGAGCTGGGTGGTCCCTCCCATCTGAAGACTCACCAGTCGGTTTGGCCCTCGATCCCGCCTGCCTCCCACCCTCAACCACATCAACGCCATTGAACTCGGGCTAACATCCAGAAACCAGGGAACGGCTATTCGCAAATTCAGTAATTGGAGTCATTAGCGTTGACTCAGAAATCATTTTTTTCTAAGTCTCTCTCTTGGAGAAGCTTTTAAGACCCTTTAAATTGGTTAATGGAGAGTTTAGAGATGAGGACCGAGCCTCGGCTTTCAGCTCTCCTGCCCATCACCCTGTCTCTCCCCAACACACTTAAGGGCTACAGTGATGAGATAATCCAATATCAGTTTTATTAAACGCTCATATGTTTCTGGCACACCGTTCCCAAAGGAGGACCTCAAAATCTACACCTTCCTGCCCCAAGACGCCAGGTACTAACCCTCCATTTACTCCCTCACACTGGTAGAACAATAATAATGCTTTCATATAAAATTACAGGACAAACCAGTGGGGAGAAGCCCTGGGCCAGGAATCAGGAAGCCTGGGTCCTCATGCTGGCCGGACAACTCAGGAAGCTGGGTAACCTCAGGCATCACTCTGCCTGCCCAGGCCTAAGTGAGCACCAGCCAAGGTCCTTTCTGCAGTGAAATGCTGTGATGGTCTCGTTTAATCTCCACATCAGCCCTGTAAGGTAGGAGGGCAAACACCATTATTGCCCTTGGTCTACAACTGAGTAAACAATGCATGAGTCAGGTCACTGCTTCAAGGGAACATGCCAGGCAAGTGACCAGGCCAAGAGTAGAGCCTGGGTCTTCACACACTTTCCTCTTCTCCTGCTGAGGCAGGTGCTCAAGGCTCTTTGGGGAGGTGGGTGGATAATTGGCCTCTTCCGTGGGACCCAAGGTCATACCATCTCTCTGAGCACCCACAGGCTCCATCTTCAGGGCTGAAGCGTGAAGGTCTGAAAAATCCAAGCAAACGCATCTAGGCATTTAGGTAAGAAATGCCTTCCAAATCAATGGGGAAGTGAAAACGACTATGAACCCACTGGGGATAAACAAAGGCAAATGTTGGAGCCAGTCTCGGGCATGACCTGACTCAGTGTTTCCTAAGTTTTAGCCATTCATGGAACGACCCTCATGATTTTTGCCACATCTCTGGATCTATGCTCCCCTTCATGCAATGTTTTTTTTTTTGTTTGTTTTTTGAATTGGTTCACTTGTTTTTAAGTTAGCCTCGTCTTAGACATAATATCTACGAAACTACAAATCAATACACTGGTCATCTTTTTATATCATAAATTAAACATGTAACTACAAAAATATAAAATATTGTGTACCACCTAAAATCTTCTTGCGAACACATCAGAGGAATACAGTCTAAGCCTAAGGAAACTGAGGCACAGAATGAAGCAGATAAATCATTTGCTCAAAGACAAAGGCGAAGGCCAGGCTCAGGGTCTCTAGACCCTTCAATAGAGTTGTTCATAGGTCAGTGAAAGAATCTTTTTTGTAACAGATCAGAAATGACTATGAGTGCATCTACTGCTCATCTGTGAGGCTACCGTCTGGGGGAAAAGGTCAAAGTCATTTATTAGACATGAACTTGAAATTGCCCGGGTTCCTAAGCTCCCACTGGAATTACCACCCTGGAAAGGATTCCTAACACCCTATTTTTGTTGCCATCCAACCTCCTGGCACCCCTGGCCTGAGAGGTACCAATGACTGTGTTTTGTCTCACCTTAGCCAAAACCCAGTCTTACAAGACTCCTTTCCAAGGAGTGGGGATGTGGCGGGATAGCACTGCTGTTGGCACGGGGGTTGGGTCTGAGATGCCCACTTCTGCAGAGAAGCCCAAGGTTCCCTGTGCTCCAGGCGTGTGGGAGGCGCAAAGCTCCCGCCAGCAGGGTGTTCAGACTGCAGAGAGCGGGGCTGGAGAAGGACTTGAGTCCTGTAACTGCCAGGTTGCTGGGCCCAAGGGCTGCAAGTAGAAGTGAAAGCAACTCTTACTCACGCTGTATTCTTGGATTCCTACCTTGGAGCAAGAACTTCTTAAAGGACTTGTTTTCCCTGGCATTGCTAACCCATCCCAGCCCCAGTGAGTCATGACTCAGCAGGGTTCTCAGAGCCCTAGCAGGGTAATTCAGGGCACTGAGGCGGCCTCAGGACGTTATCCCACCTAAAAAATCATCAGAGCAGCTACCACTTATTCCACATCTACTGTGTGCCAGGTTGTGCTAGACCCTTTACAGTCACCTCATTTAATCCTAACAACAACCCAACGAGTTAGGCATTACTATTACCCTCAATTTTAGAGGTGAAGAAACTGAGGCTCAAAGACATGGAGACCAAGTTCAGTGACAGAGCAAGGGTTAAAACTCAGGTCTGTCGAACTCCAGCCATGCTCTTAACCACCATTACGGTAGGAAATGGAGACTAGGGACCACTGCCACCCCCTTCTCTGTCACAAGGTGCCAAGCTGGGGCGGGGGCGAGGGGTACTCTGTTGGCTTTGACTTGTGTCTGTACCTGCTGCCTCCATGAAGAAAAGGGTCTGCAGCCTCTCCTGGGCGGGCTCGTTCCCCAGAGCCGCTGACTGCTGGTAACATCTCACGGCCTCTCCCAGATTTCTCTGCACACCAAGGCCCTTCTCATAGCAAATTCCCAAGTGGTACCTGCTCTGTGAGTCCTAAGGAGAAAATGGACAGACACACAGGCACACATACATGCAGGACTGAGGAAACGAAATGCTACAGCAGGAGGAAGGCATGCTGGAGCTTCCCAGGCAGGATCAAGATCCGGCCCCACTCTCCCCATACCAAGGGACCTCAACTATGAAAATCCAGAGGCCCCGAGCTTGCCCAACACAGAGGAGCCAGCCATCCCTCCACCCAGGGAGGTTCCAGCCAGAGCAGTACGGAAGCTTCTCTCACAGAGGCCAGTGCTGAAAGCATGCACAATTGAAGGCTGCAGGAAGTACTCAGCCCAGTTAGGGAAACCAGGCTCCCAATTATCCTGAAAGAGCAAGGAGGCAAGGGTGGATGGTAGGCTTTCCAAAAGGCCTATATGCCTTCCTGAATCTCTGCTTAGAGGGCCAAAAAGAATAAATTATAGGAAAAGTGTTTCTACTCCTTTAAAAGGCTAATCCCTTCACCCATGGCTCTGGACCCTCTGGCCTCTCACTGAGAACTATGAGGACCAGTGTCAGGTAGGTGTTAGCTGCCCATCTATACAGCCAGACTGCTTGGGTTCTAATCTTGGCTGCACCACTTACCAGCTGTGTAACCTCAGGCATGCTACTCTACATCTCTGTGCCTCAGTTTCCTCATCTAATAGCACCTAACTTACTGGGTTGTTGTGAGGACTAAATGTGTTAATATACAAAAAGTGCTTAGATTAGTACCTGGTACATAGCAAGTGTTCCATTATTTTTATCTCCTTTAGTTGCCTGCATCATTAATCTCTTCCTCTCTACTGGAATATTTTTATCATACTCAATCTCTCAACTTAAAAAAAAGAACAACAAAAAGCTCTGTTGACTCCCAACCATGGTCCCACTTCTCTGCTACCCTCCACAGTCACATTTCTGGAAAGAGTTGTCTAAACATTCTGCCCCTACTTCTGTAAACGTCAGGCCAAAGTCTACGCCAAGAGCTGTGGTGAGCTCATGGCTACAGATCAGGTCAGAAAACAGAATTGGACATAAATAAAGCCCAAACACCCACTGCTGCAACATCGCTCAGTACACGCCTAGGAAGACAATGCCCTATGGGGTGGACAAGGGTGAGGTCTGTGCTCCAACACTGTACTCCATAAAGAGTGACACACACCCCTCTGTGTAGTGCTCCTCTGAGCAGGCTGGTCTCACTAGGCTTGCCCAACACATGGACATGTACCCACTCAGCCTGAGGAGGGTACATGGGGCTCTTTCAGAGGAAAGGAAGGCACAGCAGCAGGTACCAGATGGTGACATCAGTCCTGTTTTGACAGCTACTATACATACTTTGGAAAACCTGGTGGCATATTGGTTAAGAGCTATGGCTGCTAACCAAAAGGTTGGCAGTTCAAATCCACCAGGCGCTCCTCGGAAACCCTATGGGGCAGTTCTACTCTGTCCTATAGGGTTGCTATGAGTCGGAATCAACTCAACGGCAACGGGTCTGGCGTTTTTATAGACACTTTGGGCAATAGAGAGTGCCCAAGCATTCAGTGAAGCTCTCAGTGTGGGGGCCAGAAACAAAAAGCAGCAGCAGCCCCCTATGCAGGCAAATTATAGTATAAACACATTGCTTACTTTAATCCAGTACTCCCGGTCCTTCAAGATGCACCTCAAAACACACGTGGGTCAAATACATTTTGGGAATATAGCAAACCATAGATATATCCTCTTTTCTGTGATTTGCACAGAGCTCTGAGATTTCCTGCAGCACAGAAACCTTTCTAACTCTGTTTAACCCAGTATTTCCCAAGCCTAATTGGCGTTTTGTTTTGTTTTTTTTCCCTCGTATTACATATAAACATCCAGTGAAACTAATGCTCTGTGGAACAAACTTTAGGTCATGCTGCCTGAATGCCATGCCCCCAGTTTACAGAGGGTATTTGCTCCTGTAAACCACTCAGTGTCTTCACCTTATGTGTCTCTGACTTCCCTGGACTACCACCCCTTGAAATGACGTACCTTTCATGTGTACAGTTTGCAAGTACTTTCACACCTATTATCTCAGATAGATTTTGATCAGCCCAACAATATTGTGAAGTAGTAGACAAGTAACGCAGGCATTACTATCCTGATTACAGAAATGAGGAAACAGGTTTGGATTAGGAAATGATCAGCCCAGTAATGTGCTGGTAAATGTTTAACAGCTGGCTCCCCAGGGGAAAAAGCCCTGCTTTGTAGCATTTGCCAGTTTCTGTGGTGCAAATAATCCCACTGTGGCTGATTTTAAGCGACCAACAGCTCTCTCACTGGACTTGCCCAAGGGTCACACAACAAGTCAGCACGACCTAAGGCTTGAAGCTGGCCAATGCTCCTATGGGTCCAAAGAGTCTCCTAAGCACAGGACAACTCAATACCAGTTCCAACGTCCCTTCACTTGTCGGACTTGATCCCCAACATGCCTGAGTACCAGAGATCTCATACCCCATTGTTGGCTGCAAGGCAGAAGTATTTCACAGCTCTCTGCTCATCCAGGTATGGCTCCTTGGTGAAAAGCACCCCGAGGAAAGCTTGGGCCTGTGGTCAAGAAGGAAGGAAAAAAGGCATCTTAGTCACTGCCAGGCCCCACATGCCCCAGCTGCCCAGGCCAGACTCCACCAAAGGCACTTGCCTCTTTCAAGCCTGAGTCTGCAGCTTGCTTCAGCATGGACATGGCCCTCTGCCGCTCAGGTTCCCCCGAGGAGGCGGGGTCTTGCAGTAGGCACCTGGCATAGCGATATTGAGCCAGGCTGTGGCCCTGGCTGGCAGCCAGCTGGTAATAAAGGACCGCCTGGGGCAAAGAGCGATATACGCAGTCAACTGGTAACTCTATAAGCAATCTTTTCCTTTGAGGGAAATTTTTTAAAATTATTTTAATTAAATAACACATAATCATTAAAGACAAGTCAGAAAATGCAGTTAAGTCAAAATTTAAAAATACAGATAAGGCAAAAATAGAAATATAAAATCTCAAGAAGTCATGCCTCCTGAAGATCATTCTCTGTTAACATTTTAGTGGACAGCCTTGCAAATGTCCTCCCACATATATGTGTGTTTTAACATACCTATATATATAAATATAAATGTTTGTGTGTGTATCTACATATATACACACATACAAAAAATTGGATACTACATTTGCTATTTTGTAACCTATTTCTTCACTTAATGATATATGATAAATGTCTTTCCCTGCCAATAAACATAGATCTAACACATCATTTTTAAGGACCAAAACCAAAAACCAAACCTGCTGCCATTGAGTCGATTCTGACTCATAGTGACCCTATAGGACAGGGTAGAACTGCCCCATAGGGCTTCCAAGGAGCGATTGTTGGATCCAAACTGCTGACCTTCTGGTTAGCAGCTGAGCTCTTAACCACTGTGCCAACAGGGCTCCTTTAAGGACCAGGTAGATATAATCAACTAATTCTCTACTGACGGAATTTTAAGTTGCTTTCCTTCCCCCCACCCCACCCCCCACTTCATATACAGTTCTAAGAAATACATCCTTATATACAACATCTTTGTGTACTTACCCTACTTTTTTAGTATTAATTCATCAAGGTGCTATTCTAGGCACTGAGGAGACAGCTGCAAACAAGAGAGTCAAGGTCTCTGCCCTCCCTAAGTTTCAAGTCTCAATTCCTAAAAGTTGATAGCCTCTTTCTTACTTTTCCCTGGCAACTGGGCTAGAACCAAGTGGGAGAGAGAAGCCAAACTTTCCCCGTTCCCACTGCTCATTTCTGGAGATCACTGTGGGCAGCCTGGCACAGGGGATGGGCCTGTGGGCAGGGAGGGAGGGGCAGTACCTTGCTGAGGTCTTGGGGGGTGCCTCTGCCATGCTCGTGACACAAGCCTATGTTGTACTGTGCTTTGCTGTAGCCACAGTCTGCAGCTTTTTGGAAGTAAGAAAAGGCTGTTGGGTAGTCCCCATTCCTCATATTCTCTGTCCCTGTAAGAAAGCACACGGCACAAACACTTCCAGCTTCCTCTGCAAACTTCTCCACATGCTCAGCCAAATACCCACAGGCTACTTCCTTTCATTTTTGTCTTAGACACTTTGCATGTATTTCTATCCTTTGAATATTTACTGGTAAGGCACAGATATCAGTGGCTTCTGCCCTCCTATAATCCATTATTCCTCCTCTTGGTAACTGCATCCTGAGTTCCCTTTGGGAACAACCCCTCCCTAGTGCTGTCAGTCAATGTGCCTGTACTCTTCCTGGCCAATGAGACTCTCTCCCCCAGGAATCTGAATCAGGCTGGGTCAAGGACAGAAAATAATTTTTGCAGTTTATTCTGACAGCAGCACTCTGAAGACACTATCTATTTAGTTGGAGCCCCCGGATCCCTGGAGCTTCCCTGAATCCTATCCTTTCCAAGGGTTGGCAAGCCAATAGATTCCAACAGATTGCTTTTTTGCTTAAGTTAGTCAGAGCGGGTTTAGGTTACTTGCAACCAATAAACCCTAACTGATACAGGTAATACAGTTAATCTCGTTTTATAAGGAGAAAACTGAGGAAGGTAATGTTAAGAAGGCTGAGACCTGAACTCAGGTATGTTCAGCTCTGAAGTCTATGTTCTTTTCATTGCCCAAACACAAAGGAAAACAGGAAAGAAGCAGGGCACAGCCCATTCTCAACTCTAAGCCTTTGCTCAAGCAGTTTCTCCTGCCTGGGATATCTTTGTCTGCCTCTACCATGAGGCCTTCACATCCTATTTCTGCCCAAGAACTTTCAGACCACACTCAGGCTTTGAGCACTTTTTTGGTACTTAATATACCAAGCCTTCTTCTATGAACTAAACTGTTTCAAAAGTACAAGCGCTGTCTCCTCAATTAGACTGTAAAATCCTGGAGGCAGAAGCAGAATAAGAATGTAGAAGAAATAACTTTGCATAGGGTGAAAGCTCTATACAAATGCAAAATACGATTATGGCTTATGCTCCCTTTGTATTTTGCCACAGTGCCTAGCACTTGCTGAATAAATGAATATATGAATGAAAGAACGGGCAAGAGAGTTCTCAGATGGGACTGTCTGCCCATAAACATCACGAAAAGTTAATGAGGTACAAGCCAGGTTCAATTCACTCAGCAGTAAATTAAAGTCACCTCCTTACTGATGGAAAGCTCACTGTCCAGGATTGACAGAGCCCTCTGTCCCTGGGGAAAAGGCTCGAGAGGGCAAAGGATCACAACCTGTTCCCATTCCCCACACTGGCCTCATCAACATACCCTGATCCATCCAATCTTCTAGGTTTCCTCTGCCTCCAACCTAGACCAAGCCACCACTGTGTTTTGCTTAGTCATCAGTGACAGCCCCTACCCAGTCTCCTTGAGTCCCCTCTGGAATCCCTACAGTCCACATCTGTCCATACAGCAGCCAGATATATCTTAGAAAAAAGAAATCAGATCACATGACTATTCCTCTCCCTGCTCCAGCTTAAAACCCTCCAGTGGCTGGCTTCCTGTCTCACTTAGAAAATCCACACCCTTTACCTTGGCTCAAAGGCCTTACCTGCTCTGGCCCTTGCCTACTTCTCTGACCTCAACTCCTTCCACTCTCCCTCAGTGATCTCTAAGCTCCAACCACACTTACATGTCTTTTACACCTTTAATAAGCAAAACTCAAGTCCCTGCCTCAGGACCTTTGCACTTGCTGTTCACTATGCTTGGATAGCTCTTTCTCCAGATGGTCACCAAGACTGGGTCCTTTTTGTCAGTCAGATCTCAGCTCCAGGATCTTCTCTTCAATGAGGCCTTCCAAATCAAAAGTTGTTCCTTGCCCAAGTCATTAACACATTACTGTTTTATTTTTTTCATAACATTTATCATCTGAAATTCTTTGTTTGCCAGTTTGTCTTTCCTTCAACTCAAATGTCAGCTCCTTGAAGGTAAGAACTTTGTCTAGTGAATCACTGTATCTCCAGCACCTAAAGTATAGCCTAGCAAAAGGTAAAAGCTCGATAAATTTGTTTCGAATGAATCTCAACTTCTCACCTACCTGCCCACTAAACCCCACTAGATGCTACTGGGAGTCTGGGTCTCCATACTGGAAGGCCTGAAACTTAGGCCAAGTTGCTGCAGAGGGCAGGACAAATGCAGAGAGGGGTATCTGGAATCTCCAGATGTGGGCTGTTGTTCTTGTTAGGTGCCTCAAGTCAATTTTGACCACAGCTACCCCACATGGCAGAGTAGAACTGGCCTATAGGGTTTCCTAGGCTGTAATCTTTATGGAAGCAGATCGCCAGGTCTTTTCTCCCGAGGAGCGGCTGAGTGGGTTTGAACTGCCAGCCTTTCAGTGAGCAGCCAAGTGTTTAACCATTGTGCCACAGGGCTCCTTCCAGATGTGAGTAAGAGGTCCTATTTGTGCACTTGAAGGCCTGCTCCAAACCTCAGGAGCCCATTCTTTCCTTAGTGTGGCAGACAATGCTAGGTGTCCTCCAAGATCTATTCTCCTCTTCTTATATGATAACAGAATTTTCAGATAAGCACACGGTCAGTTAGCTAAGGACTACATTTCCCAGGTTTCTTTGCAAATGGGAAATGATTTGTACAACTTCTAGGTCATCTCCTTAAGGAGAAAGCGTGGTCCTTTAGTTTTCTCACCTTCCCCTCCCAGCTGGCTGGAATATGGATAGGAGGGTAGCCGCTAGAATAGCCAAACTGGACCTTGAGATAGGCCAGTCTTAAGAATGGCCAAACAAGTCTGAAAGAATGAGTCTGACACCACTGAGTGACCATGCCAGATTTGGTCTACCTACCTGGGAGAAAATATAAACCCTCTTGTTTAAACCACTCCCCACCTGGACTCTATTTGACCCACCCCATACTCCTCCCATTTTCCCATCCGTCTGTCTTGAGGCAAGGTCCACTCAGTTACCCAGGAAGTTGAAAGCGATGGAAACACTGAGCTGAAAGAGCTGCTGAACGGAAGTCGCTGCCTCCTCAAGGGAAAGAGTTTTTGATTTATCTTGTTCCTGGGAAAAACATGAAGACTCATTATGGGATGGTTCACAGGAATCGCCATGCCCAGGGGGAATGTTATGGGCATCCAAGTGGCCAAATCTGGACAATACCTGCTTTTCCCCAGTTGTCTGAGGCTGGGCTAGCCTTGCCTTCGACTCAGAGCTACTGCTGGCATGCAGGAAGCCAATATCACTGGCATCTGCAAGGAGAATGGCCGACACACAGCCAGGACAAAGGAGAAAGGTGTTACATCTCCTTTTTTCCTACACCCCCAGACCACCCAGCCCTTCCATCCAGCCCCACTGCCAGGAACCAAAATAAGTGAATGGCCCTAGAGAGCATGGAGCCTCACAGAAATGACAATTCCTTTATCTGGGAATATGTAGCTACAAATGTCCGTGTGCCCAATTCTCCCCTCTCCCCTTTCTGCTGATTCTAGGAGGTGGGGACTTACCTTCCTCAGAGGAGTCCTGAACACCGGCTGCCCTCCAGGAGCTGTGTGAGGGGAGACTCCTGGGCTGAGTGGAGCTGTGTGAGGAGAGACTCCTGGGCTGAGCGGAGGGTCCTTCCTGGCCCAGCCTGTGTTCCCTGAGGCCAGTGTGCCTGGGGGCTGGGCCCTCAGGACTAGGGAGAATGTGCCTCCGCAGTGCTAGAAAGAGCCAACAAGAGTGGTCAGGCGAGAAGAGTGGTTCAGTCTGCTCTGGCTTGACTGAGTCCTCCCTGAGGTTTTAGATACCTGTGACATCTCTTTCACACTCCTCTTCCTCCTACTCTGCTTCTTTTGCTGGTTTCCCTCCACTGGGGTCTAGGGGGTCCACTTTTAGGCTAATCTCCCACCCTAAGCATAAACTCACTTTATTACTCCTCTGCTTAAATTCTAGTGGCAGGGAGTGAATAAGATATTTTCCTTATTCATTGTTGTAGCCCAAGCACCTAGCACTTCGTTTGATAGTAATACTGCTAATGATCATCATAATAATAATGAAAAGAAATAATATTTAGTGAGCACTTACACGCGGCAGGCACTATTATAAGTCCCTGACATATATTAATTCATTTAGTCCTTCTAAGAACTCTATGAGGTGAATCCTATTATTAGCCCATTTTATAGATGAGGACACTAAGGCACAAGGAAGTTACGTGACTTTACCAGGAACATAAGTCTAGCATGTAGCAGCTTTGAGGCTTGAACCCTGGCATTTTGACTTCAATGCCTTAACCACTAGGCTATATCATCTCTGTACTATAGCACATAGTAGGTACTCAATAAACATTCATTTATTAATGAATGACTGGGCAGAGAATGGCCTAAATGGCTAAGTGGATAGCAGGAAGCCCCACCCAGGATCTAGGGTAGCCTGGACCTCTGTGGGGCTTCCTCCATGGGTGGTAGTGGAAGGACATGGAAGGACACTAAGGGGCAGGTGTGGCCCACACCCTGGATGGGTAGAACTTCCCCAAGTTCTCCTTCCTCTGACTTCAGATAGGAAAGGCAAGGAGCTGCAGATGACTCTTTTCCTGAGGTGTGTCCAGAGATGCTTCCTGGCCCAGGGAAAACTCCCGCCCAGCCCTCCTGTCCCAGGACTGAGAACTCACAGCAGTGCGGGTGCCACAAGGGAGATGAGAGGAAATGGTCCAGGGGACTGCGCCAAGAGCAGGGCTCTGCTCGCCACGGCGCTCCTGGCAGGGATGCCTGGAAGTGGGTCTGCCTTGCCAGCTGCAGAGCCAGTACAGTCAGAGTGCCCTGGGAAAGACAGCACATCAGGGGCACAGCCCTCAGCAATCAACTCCTTCAGACTCGCTCTTTGGGTCTCAGCTCAAACATCGCTTACTTGGGAAACTTTTCCTGACTCCTGGCTGGGGCAACTGCCCTACTACATACTCTCACAGCACTCAGACTTGTCCTCTGGAGGCCTGCTCACACAGGCACGTAAGTAATCGTCTATACAATTATTCATCTAGGGTGTCTCTCCTGTTAGTCTCTAAGCACCACGAAGGCAGGATCCATGTCTATTCTGCTCACCAGTGTATTCCGGTGGCTAGCATTGTTAAGATACTTGTTGTTGTTAGGTGCCATCGAGTCAATTTTCGACTCATAGTGACCCCATATGAAAGAGCAGAACTTCCCCACAGGGTTTCCTAGACTATAATCTTTAGGGAGCAGATCACCAGGGCTTTCTCCCGCAGTGCCACTGGGTGGGTTCAAACTGCCAACCTTTCAGTTAGCAGCCAAGTGCTTAACTGTTGGGCCACCAGAGCTACTGTTAAGATAAACTAGGGTCTTCATAAATACATAGTGAACAAATTCATAAGAAAATGACAGAATAAACAAAGTCTAAGGAGGCAAAAAGACAGTGTAGTAAGCTGGGGCTTAGACACAATTGCAGCAAGAAGTCAGACTTCCCCCTAGGCTCAATCTTTTTCCTTATCCTGGCACAGCCCTTCCTCCCCTCCCCTCACCAAGCCATCTGGCCACATACACATTCACCAGTGCAGGCTTGCTAACATGAGGTGTCTCTTCTCTGACAGGTCTGCAAAAGGCCTGAGCTAGCTCTTATCCTAGTGACTGCCTCTTCCTGTATATGCCAAATACTTATTTGTTGCAACAGGCACTGTGTACAATGGCAAACAAGACAAGATATAGTCTCTGCCTCATGGAGTTTATGGGGAGAAAGATGGGGAGAAAGACAAAAGCCAAGTACATAGACAATAAATTCAATAATTACAAATTATGCTAAATGCCAAGAAACAAATCAGGGGTTTGCACAGAGTGTAAGAGGAAGGCCTTACAAGATATGGAGTCAAGGAGAGCCTCTCCATGGAGGCTATGTGTGGGCTGAGGCCAAAAGGAAGAGAAGGCCCCAGCCTTGTAAAGAGTAGGGACAAGTGTCCATGGCCATTGAGAACAATATGCTCACAGGTCCTTTCACACGGACAGTAGTGACAGAGCTGATGGGAGGCATCAGTACCCCTGGGATCTAGGCCCAGTTCCCAAAAGGGCTCAGTGTGGGACCACCCTTGAGCTCAGATCTTCAGCAAAATGGGAAAGCACTCCCCTCTCCAGGGTGTGTTATGTGAACTGCTTAGCTCCTGTTTATAGGCTATGTTTCCAAGCAGGATCATTCTTGTCTACACTGAAGGTCAAGGACAGGGCTGAAGAAGCCTTACCCACGATAAGGCATCCCACAGGGTGTTTGGGGAGACACGAGCAGACATCCACTGGAAGGCATCCTTCCATCCATGGGTCCTTGTGCCCTTGCTTGTGCCTGGGCGTGGGACATGGGGGCCGGAGCTAGAGAGATGCAATAAAGGCTGTCAAATTCAGCCTGAAGCAGGTGCAGAGGGAGGCCAGGGGAGGAGATAGGCATGGAACGGCAGTGTCTCACCTGTCAAGGCTGGGCACAGGGACCAGCAGGTTGGAGGAGGTAGCCTGCGGCCCACCAGGGCTTGTGGACCTGTGGTTCAACTCCCGGAGGCCAGGTCCTGGCAGACGGTGAAAAGCTATGCAGACAAAAGGATCAGTCACCTCAACAGGGGCAGGATTGAGGCAAGGCAGCCCCAATAATATTCCCTCCAGCCCCGCAACCCAGCTTCATCCCAGAGACTCAGGAATCACTGGCTTTGCCTCTGCAAAACTCCTAACTTGTTGCCATCAAGTTGATTCCGACTCAGGGCGACGCTAGAGGGCAGAGAACTGCCCCATGGGGTTTCCAAGAAGCGCCTGGTGGATTCGAACTGCCGACCTTTTGGTTAGCGGCCGTAGCTCTTAACCACTATGCCACCAGGGTTTCCAAAACCAAACTCGTTGCCATCGAGTCAATTCCGGCTCATAGCGACCCTATAAAACAGAGTAGAACTGCCCCATAGAATCTCCAAGGCACAGCTGGTGAATCTGAACCGCCAATCTTTTGGTTAGCAGCTGTAGTACTTAACCACTACTCCACCAGGGCTTCCTCTGCAACGCTGCTTAAACAAGGATACGTGGTAATCACCTGGAGATTCTTTGCCAAGTACAGATTCTAGGGTGCCACCCCTAACCAATACACCAGAATCTCTCAAGGTGGAGCACCTATATTTTGAAAAAGCTGCCCAGGTGATTCTGATGTTCTGCTATTCCTAACAAGCACAATCGTAAGATGTCTAGACATTCATACTCATACTCCCACCCAATGTTCGGAGCGCTTGATCTCTAAACTCTGCCTCTCTTCCTACTGGCTCCTCCTACTCCATTCGCCTCTAAGCCTACTCTTTCATTGGCTCCTCCTACCACCTCCTGACACTTGACCCCTCCCCCTGGCAGTAGCCCCACTCATTGTCTTGGAACTAAGCTTCACCATCTTCTCATTAGCTCCACCCCCAGATCCTAGGGTCTAAACCGCCCCTCCCCACTAGTCCCACCCACATCTCAAAATCCAACAGCCTCTGACGTCTTGGCTGTAGCACCGCCCCTTTTGAGGACCCGCCTTTCCTCAGCTCTAACTCTGCCCACTGTTGGTTTGACTCTGTCCTCAGGCCCGCCTCTTCTCCCAGTTCAGAGGTTCCGCAGCCTCATGTCGCGCGGCTCCAACGCCCTTTACCTCGGCCCAGGAGTCCCGGGAGGCGCCACATGTCTTCCCCAGCACCATACGGAGCTCACAGACGAAAGAACGAGGCCGAGTCACGGGATGGCGGCTAGAGCAGCCGCTGTGGCGTCTTAGACTGGCCGAGTCCCTAAGGAAGCTCACAGCCAGCCAATTAGAAAGGAGCACGAACGGAAGAACGGCGCTCAGGAAAGGAAGTGGCGGGTGTAGGAGTAGTTGGGGGCTAGCGAGGAGGTGAACTGCTTCAAGGACATAAGGGCGTGGGCACAGTTTTACTGTCCTCACAAGAAAGCGGAGAGCGCCCGGGAGGGAGGGGCGCAGGTGGCTAAGTTGAGCCGTCTCAGAAGCAGCACTACTGTGAAACACGGCTAGACCGGCCTCGGTGGAGCAAGAGGACCTCGCAGACACCGTGACCCGGGAGGAGGAAAAGTCTTCGTCAGGCCCCGAGGCTTGAGGTGGAGTAACCAGGGCCAGTTGGCGGAGGAGATGAGCCTTAGGGTCTGACAAAAGATGCAGGCAGTCAGAGCTACGGGTCCAAGGCCGCCGGCTGGAAGACGCGGGGCCAGGACCTGACTGGGTAGGCGATAAAAATTGAGCAGGCTTCTGATTAGTTCAGTCGGTCCCACGGTAGGTTCAGATGGAATGGTTTTCGACTGGGCGAACAGGCTGTGACGCTTGAGTTGCTCCTTTTAAAATACCTGTGGGGAGAATCGCCCCCTCCCGCCACTCACCCATGTTTATCAGAGGGTGGGTAGCTCAGTCGGTAGAGCATCAGACTTTGGCGCCCTGGTGGCGCAGTGGTTAAGAGCTCCGAAGCTAACCAGAAGTTGACAGTTCGAATCCACTAAGGGCCCCTTGGAAATCCTATTGGGCAGTTCTGCTCTGTCCTATAGGGTCGCCATGAGTTGACATCCACTCAACAGCAACGGGATGGGGAGAATCGCCCCCTCCCCCTATGTTTATGAGAGCCCTCATCTTCAGACCCAGCTACCCTTAGGCACATGTTCTTTTGTTGGGAAAAGAATGTTTCCTTTTTCACCACACTTGAATCCATGCAATAAAAGTGTTCCTATTCAAATTCAAATATTGAGTGCTTAGGCTTCCTCCTACCCCTTCCACCATCATAGGTATGTGACTTATAAGTGCGTGAAAGTCTCTACCTGGGGTGAAAATACAGGAGTACCTACTTTTAGACGCAGGCATGTGATGTGAAAGGAGCCCTGGTGGTGCAATGGTTAAGCACTCGGCTGCTAGAAAGGTTGGCAGTTCTGGCATTGGAACCCACTTGCCACTCCTGGTGATCTGCGCCGGTAAAGATGTCAGCGTAGGAAACCCTCTGGGGCAGTTCTACTCTGACCAGTAGGGTCACTATGAGTCTGAATCGATTCGACCTCACACAACAACATACGTGAAAGTTGCATTGATTTATTCAACATTAGTTTTTGAGCCATATGTCAGCCACCATCCTAGGAGCTGAGAAGACAGATGAATAAAGAGCAAATCTGGGTTTGAATCCCAGCATATTATTTCCTAGCTGTGTGCTCTTGATCAGGTTACTTAACCTATCTAAGCCTCAGGTTCTTCATTTATAAAATAGGGAAAATAATAATTCCTGGGATTGTTGAGAGGCTTAAATAAGATAATACATTAAAAATGTTTGACATCGTTCATGGCACATAGTAAGAGCCACTTAATAAATGTAAGCTTTGATTAATTGGCAGTAGTGGAGGAGGTAAGTAGGCAAATATAACATTCCAACAGAAACATGAACAATGGGCTGTGGGATACCATAGAATTCAGAGAGTGGTTGCATTTGAGCTGGGCCATTAAATAGAGAGTTTGCCAGATGGAGAAGGGAAAAAAGGCATTTCAAGTACAGGAAACTGAGTGAGTAAAGGCTCAGGGGTTTGAATATTGGAAAACTACTCAAATATTCTTGCTTTGATATTTGAGACAGCTGCCTTTCATACTCCTTGTGTTGCTGCCTCAAAATAACAAGCATGCAGGTTCAGCTGTGTTCTTCTGGCACCTCTGTACCTTCTTCCTTTCAACCTGACTGCAGTTTGTTCATTCTTCAAGGCTCAGCCCAATCCTACCTCTTCAGTGAAGACTCCCCAACTGAGGCCTCACTACTCTCTGCTTTTCCCAATTCCTGTAGCACTTTATTTCTTACCACACTATTTAGCAGTAATTATATGTTGTCCTGTTATTTCATTATCTCATTTGTGGAAGTCTAGTCTTCCTAGTTCTTTCCCTCAGGGCAAGGATGGCATTTTCTTTCTGTGTCTCCCCTATAGGGCTTGACATAAACTGTCAGCCTAGAGAAGATGCTCAAACAATGTCTGTTGATTGGCTAAACACCTCTGTGCATAGTGATTTCAGCCAAGAGCATCAGACCCAATCATGGGATTTACTGATTCAGTCCACATAAAAACATTCAGTGAGGGCCTGCCATGAAGCAGACAGTAGGGTGCCTGTCCCCATGTGTAAAATGGCATTATGGCATCTTGTCCCCAGAAGCCTGAGAATACAAACAGAAAACTTGTGTGAGGGGTAGATGGCAAGAGCAGCTGGAGTCCTTGGAGTTCCCCTGGCATACCAGTTGACCCCTTCAATGTTGCCCAGAGAACACCATCAGGGATGGCAACTTTATTCCCTTGACCTTTAGCTTTGCCTGGCCTTCCAGGACCAAATCTTTCATCATTCTCTTCTGCTCCCAAGACTGCTCCGTGTTGCTGGATTGTGGCCCAAAGTCAAGTTTACTCAAGGTCAAGGTAAACCGTCTAACTTACATTGGGAACTTATTGCCCAGATGTCTAGTGAATCACCTCTTGATGATGCCGTTGTGTACTTACCACAGTGACTGTTTTAGACATTTGTTGATGCCTTTGTTTTTGTAGACACTCTTTAATTTGTGTTAATCAAATATTTGAGAGCTTATTGTATGCTGGAGAATGTCCTGAGTATATAATACTTTTTTAAAATGGATGTAGTCCCTGCCCTCACAGAGAAAATAGTCTAGTGGGGCAAACTAAGTCAATAGGCAATTAAAATACAGAATGGTGTTTCTGTTATTTATTGCAGCATAACAAAACCCCCAAAATTTAGTGGCTTAAAACAATCATTTTATTATCGCTTAAAACAATCATTTTATTATCCCTCACACCAGGGATAATAAAATGATTGTTTTAAGCCACAAATTTGTTGTGTGTTGGCTGGGCTCAGCTGGACAATTATGCTCGTCTCACTTGGGGTCTGTCATGAGGTTGCAGTCAGATGGCAGCTGGGGCTGGAGCCATTGAAGGTTCAACTAGGAGTCTGGGCCTCTTTCCCTCTCTGTGTAGTCTCTCAGGGTCTCTCTGCTCCATGTGGCCTCTCCTGCTGGGTAGCTGAACTTCTTACATGGTGGCTCAGGGCTTCCAAAAGTACAAAACTGGAAGTTGCCAAGCTCCTTAAGCCTGGAACCAGCACAGCATCACTTCCCCTGCATTCTGTAGGTTAAAGCAAGTTACACGGCCGCCCAGAATCTGCGTAGGAGGGGAAGACACAGGGCATGAATACTGTGAAGTGTGGTTCTTTGGAGACCAGCAAGTGCTATGATGGGGAAAGTATAGAGTACTATGGAAACACCCAGTGGAGGCCCATAACCAAGGCTCAGAAGTCAGGAAGACTTCCTGGAAGCAGAGATATCTAAACTGAAACCTGAGTAATGATGACTGGGAACTAGCCAGGTGAAAAGGGGGAAGGGAAAGCACAGTTCAGGCAGGGGAAACAGCTGGTGCAAACAAAGTCCAGAGAGGCAAAAGAACACAATCTAAGATCAGCGTGGCTGTAGACGTTGGGAGGAGTTGGGAGGAGGGGGACTCGGTGGAGATTGCCCTCTAGGCTGCAGGGGTAAGTGGGGCCACGTCATAAATCCTTGTATGGCAGTAAGCTCTCCTAAGGTGTCTGGACTCATCCTGAGGTCACTGGTACACCAAGGGAGCAGGAGAGTGACCAGGCCAGAGTGGTCACACAAAGGCCGTTCTTGGCTGCTGTGTGTGGGATGAATTGGAGTGGGTGAAGCCCATATTTTCACCTTGTCCCTTCTAGGCCAGTGACCTCACCTTTGTCACTGAGAAGGCTGAGGCATCACTTCAGCGCTGATACTAAGTTCTTTTTGTTTTTTATTAGTGGGAGTTTTTTTTATTATAAAAGAATGCAAATTCCTTTATACAAGCTCCTTTAAATTTTATTTTGAAAAGAACGTATAGTAGAAAGCCTCCTACCCAGGAAAATCTGGACAAAGATGGGGATGGTGGTCAGATGGTTAAACAGTTGAAGCCTAAGTGTAAAGTGGGTTAGGGAAGAGCCTACTGGCAGGGAGCATGCAGCACGCCAGGCTCAATGGATTTTACCTCTCAGAAAAGTAATGGTTGATTAAAAAGCTCCTACTCTAGTAAAAAGTCAAATAGTACAAAAAGGCTTATAACAAAAAACAGCAGACCCCTCCACATGCAGCTCCTTACCCTCTAGTCCTACTCACTAGACGCAACCATTTTCAGCTCTTTGAAATGTCAGGAAGCAGCACAGAAGAGCTCAGGTTCTGGAACTGGATTGCCTGGAATCCATCACAGCTCTCTCATACCAGCTGAGTGACCTTGGTAAAGTTAATTATAATAGCTTTGTGCCTCAGTTTCTTCATCTGTAAGATGGGCGTGATAATTGTACCCTGCTTATGAGATAACATACAAATTGTCTGACACATGGTCAATAATGGTAGCTATATATGATAATGATGAAGAAGAATCTAATGTGGAGAACAGTTGCAAGTACACTTGGAAGTTAGTTGCGCAGTATACAAATAAATGTAAGGCATGGTTTTGAGTTAGAGGAAATGACAAGAACACACACTCAGTTGGAGTGGTCTGTCTCTTTGTTCTAAGGCCAGACTGTTTGCTGTCAGTCCCATTCCCTTCCTGTCTCTTCCAGAATCTTGTCTCTTTAATTATCCTTACCCTCATGCCAAAGTATACAGCTCTCTACTAGCTTTCTTTTTGCCTATGAAATATGCACAGGCCTTTCCTATCTTGGGGGAAAAATTCTTTATTTGATCCTCCTGCCCTTTTCAGCTACCATTCTGTTTTCTCTTCTGCTACTGCCAGATTTCTTAACACACATGCTGTCCCCATTTCCTCACAACTCCTGTCTCCCAGCTTCTATCTCTGTTCTTCTGACATAGTTGTCACTAGGATCACCAAAGACCACCTCATTAACCACCAATGAGCCTTTGCTCAATCAGTCTCCTTGACCCAAAACACTTGACTCACTTGACCACCTACTCCTTGAATTTTACATACAAAACTGCCTCATCATCCCACTTCCTTATTTCTGTCAATTGTATCCTTTCCTCAAGTCACCTAGGAAAGAAACTTTGAACTCAGGATTGACTCAGCTTCCTTCTCTGCCCTTCCCCATATTAGTTTTGATTCTTATTAGAAACTCTAAGAGTTTTAATGCACTGAAGCTATTTTTTTTTTTTAAGTTTTATGAAGACATGAAGGGATGGGGGTGGGAGGAACATCTAATGCACCCCAAGGGCAGGATGCAGCTGGAACCCAGGAAAGACCAGAACTGGAGACTAGGGAGCCAATAAAGTGAGTCCTCTCTCTCTAGCTTTCTTTTTGGATTCCTCGTGATCTGCACAGACACCTCAGAGGTGTCAGACACTCCCACACCCAGCTAGTCACCAGGTC